GACGGCGCGCCGTTCAAAGTCATCGTGCGCCTGCCGATCGCATTTTTCTTGCCCGACCATGTGCGTTCGACCGCGCGTGTCCACACCGCTCACCCGCTTTGACCATGGTGCACCAGGTCATTAGAAACAGCGCGACGAGACAATGCGCTCCGCAAACCCTACCTTGGCATCCTTTACCGGTTCAAGTCATCTGCTACCGCTGACTGCGTCTTTCTCGCCCGACCATGTACGTTCGACCGCGTGTGTCTGCGCCGCTCGACCGCTTTGACCGTGGCGCACCAGGTCATTAGAGATAGCGCGACGAGACGACGCGCTCCGCAAGACCTACTTTGGCGTCCTTTACCGGCCGCCGCAACATCCTCAAATCCCCCGTCCTACCCCTGCCCGGTCAGTGCGCCACACTCAAGTATAAAGTACAGTCCACCTACTCAGCTCCGCTTCCGAGTAGCACGCTGTTCCCGATTGTCGCGCACCAGCTAAGGGGCTCCAACATGCACGCTCACCTCTAATCACTCAGCGCGCGGGCAGAAGGAGATGCCATAAACGCGAGCGGGAGCGATAGGAGCGACAAATGGCCGCTCAGGCTGCCGCGCCGGCCGCGGGGGCTGGATGGCGAGGGCAGGAGCGCCACCTCTGCAGCGCCGTGCGGCGTAGCGCTCCTCCCAGGCGTGGCGCTTCTCCTGCCAGGCGGATTGGGATAGACCACGCCAGGGGGTATTGGCGCGACCTCGTAGCTGTATCTGGGCCCCTTCGCTTTCGTCGCGCCGAAGTCGTGTGGGGGGTCCGCGGCGCTCATGGGCACGAACCCGGCGGGGAGCTGCTGCTCAACCTCGTCGGCGATGCCAACGGCGCTGGGCGTGGTCAGGTAGAACTCTGGCAGCTGGAGTAGCGGCCGCGGGTCAGAGTCGGAGACAGCGAAATCTGCGGTGTCAGTGGGCAGCGGCAGGGACGGCTGATGCATCTCTGGGCTCAATAGATGCGGCTGGTTGGCGGCGGCGATCGTCGAGGCCCGGGAAACCATGGCGGTGGTCTATGGTGCGTTGCGGGCAGACAGGTCAGTGGGTCAGTGTGTGGCGATAGCAATACGGGATGGAACTCACTGGCGACTCCACCATGATGTCGGGGATGCCGCTGCTGCTCCCCGACTGGCGGGTCCAGAAGCGCTTCTTGAACAAGCGTTCCAGCGGCGTCCCCGCGCCCGATCTGCGTTGACGCTCCAAAGGAGACTCCCGCTCTCGCTCGCGCCTGACAAGCTCTGGTGCCTGCGCCGGCGGGTTGTATGCCTGTGGCAGTGGGTTGTTAATGGCCATCGCCTGCCGCTGCCGCTTTGGATGCATGCAGAACAACCAATGTCAGAACAATGCAACACTTAAAGGTCTCTGGCAGGACATACGTCCTGCTCCCGCGCAGTCCGCTCTCGCTCTTTCTCGTGCACGCGTGACCTCTCCCTCCTTGACTGCGGCCGCAACGTGCCAATCATCTGCCACAGGCCCGGGAGCGCATCCATGCCACTGCCGCTGCTGCCGCTGCTCGATCTGCCGTTGCCGTTGCCATTGCCGTTGCGCGCGCTGACAAGGTTGTACTGCAAGATGTTGGTCGATGTCCTGGACTGCAGGGAGAACGGGGCGCCAGGGTTGGAAAACGCGCGGTGCGTCGGGGCCTGAGCGGGCACCGCATCGTGCACGTATGCATAGTCGCGCATGCAGACCCCAGGATCATCGTGCGCATGCGACGCGGTCCTGGGGCTGGGCAAGCGCAGGGTGATGGGCCGCGTGAGCTCGTGCAGCAGTGGCAGGGCCATGATGTGGTCGCTGCTCGTTGTCCGGCGGGACATCCACCGGGGGGGTGCAAAGGCCATAGCGGTGCGTGAGGGTCCCTCGTTCTGCCAGAAATACCCATTGGTTGACATCTGCTCGCACTGCTGTTGCGCCCATTGAGGTGTGGTAGCCATGGTGAATGCTATTTTGGTCTGCATCAAAACCTTTCGGGACATGCTCCATTAGGATTTAGCGAGAGCAACTCCGTACGGTATGCTAGACAGACATTTGCAACATGTAGTTCTACGGCCAGTCCTCAATTGGGTCCTCATCATCAATGTTTACCTGTGCACATTCTTCGTCCCATGTCTCTACTATCTTGTCGTCCTCGAGTGTGCCATCATCTCTTATCTCGGCATCAGTATTTTCCCACACATACTCCGGTGTGATCGGGCCTGGTCACTGTCTGCGTAAGGGAAGATTGTGCGGATTTGATACCGGACGATGCTGGGCACGCTTGATATCCGGGCGACCGGGCCATGGTTTGCAGGCAACAATTCCGCCAGGCACAACCTTTGTCATGTCGATGTTGCAGCGCTCGTGCTCGGGTATCTTGACAAATCGTAAGATCCCACGCTCGCACTGGAAGATCAAGTTGTCGAAGACTCGGGTACCACCAGGAAGATTGCTGGGATTCTTGAACGGGACATGTGGACTCCATCCCTGTAAGGCAACCCAATACTTGTTCCACACGTGATTGATATATGATTGCGGGGTCCAGCGCATCCGCGCATTCGGATCCCCGG